TATAAGAACACAAAATGCTCACAAATTCAGACAATTTCACAAAGAACATCTTCTTGAATCTCAAATTTTTAGAATGATTTTTTTTTAGTTTTTAGCAAAATATGTCCTTTTTTTCTTGTATCATTACAGGTGTTCTATTTGAAAAAATAAAGTTGCTAGGACTTTTTGATGGAAGATAGATAGGATAGATAGATAGGATAGATCAATAGAACAGGTAAGGAAATGTAAGAGGTGAAATTTTCAGAAAAATTATGCTTTGCGTTTTCCAGAAAGGTCTAACCTACCATCAACCTTGAGTCACGCTGTATGTATTACATTCTATGACGTTTTTGTTCAAATAACTGGAGTAATTCAAGTAGTCGTTTCCAATGGACTGTTTTCTTTCATGTTATTCAAAGCTCATGTGAAAACAATTATATCTGAAAGAAACAAACAAGACGAGAACACAAGAATGTGACAAATTTTTTGAAAGTGCACATTTCCAATACTACTAGTTCTAAAAAAGTTCTGGAAAATAAATCGTTGAAAATTTAGTTCTATACAACAAATACGAATACTTTGTAACGGAAATGGACAGAATTGAAGATATAATTTTAAGTTCATGAAATTTATCTTAACTTAAATTTTAGAGGTCAGTATGGTCCGAATCAAACTGGGCAGGTCGTATCTGGGCAAGAACATGGTGCGATTACAACACCAAACACTGTTTAACTGGAGACTGAAAGGAACAATTCGTTCAGGCCTGTCTCAACTCCCTACACTGTAGGTTAATGGACTGACACCCATCACAAAACAACTACTCCCCTGGCTAATACCAGGAAGGACGTTGGATTATATCCGACAGGTGTCAGTTCAGGATTCTTCTCTGAAGTTATTCCTGCATATGCTGTTGGCGATACAACTGCCGCAATAGATTTTCAATTATTGGAACACACTTGCAGACCGGTTTGGGGCTATTTGGCAACTCGTCAGTGCAACGTAGTGTCTATCATCAACATAAAGTCGATGATTTTCCCTCTTCTCGACGCTCGTTTCATCTACGAAATTATCTTCATCAGGAGAAGAGCAAAACTTGATCTCGTCTAGTTTATCTTCTGATGATGTCAACTTTGTCGAAGTGAATGTCGTGAATAATGTTGCAGTTCTGGTGTTTGAGAAAAGTTACAGAAAAAATCGTTGCAGCCATACTAATTCCATTCTGGCTTGGATAAATTCATTATTCATATAAAAGAGGCATTCACCATGGTATTTATCCAGTGATACATGGCATTTATCCAGTAATACTGAATAGATGCCTTGGTGTATGAATATCAGAAGAAATGTATCTAAATATTCTTACTGATACTTATCAACAGGTCAAATTGTTCAACGTTATTCAAGAATTATAGTTGGTTTCTACAACATATAATATTTACAGTGTGGACGAAAAATGTTCTTTCCTTTGTAACTTTTGAATGGGACGGGATATCTAATGAAGATCGGGTAAAGCATAGGTACTCGAATAGACATAATTTTTGTACGTTTCAATGAAAAAACAATGGTGTGGAATTACTCGTCACCAAGAGGGCAACGTCAAATGTTTTTCCAAATGAAAAGAGGAGGTTTCTATCCATTTTCATTTTCAGAAATCGGTACAGCCGTTCCTAAGTATTTGAGAGATTTATATTGCTTTCAAAAATTCTATTCAAAACTCACTTCAGATTATTCTAATAAATATGAATCATGAAATACAAATCAATTAACAGAAATTAGTTCATGATGAGGGAAAAAGATAAAAAAAACACTGCTTTGTTCCTTCCTTTTTATAAAATAGGACATATGCCTCCTCACTCACAAGCGATTTTGGTGAAATTGGGAACACGTGTGAATCGTTGTATTCATGCCACGTGCCACTATAAGGGTGTCTGCAATATATTGTGTAATGTCCGTTGTAAGTAGTCCCACTGTGATTCGAAAGGGCATATAGATTATAACGACAAGGAGCCACATTGTCTGCTGCATAATTGCTCATATCAAATCCTTCTGAAGAAAAGGTAATGGCAATATTCAATTTGCCTCTGATTTTTTCCGTTGGAGATGATCTTTTCAAATGAATTACTAAAATACGGAGAAACTTATGGATTGATAGGGACTTTGTGCATTTTCTTCTTTCCTTGCACCTCGAACACGATGGTTCTTCATCTTCATTCAGAGTTTCCTCACTTTTTAAGAAATTCAAGCATTGTGACAATTCCAATTGGCCAGTTCTTTGTAGTATGGGGAGAGTCAAATCCCAGAAAGGATCGAAGATTACTGATGAGAATCCACACTGTATGCACTTCATAGTGAATTTTAATTGACCAACGAAATTGTCTAAAATCTTAGAGTCGTTCGTGTTTAAATATCTCAGCTAGGACTCTTGCGCTTTTCCGCTGTTGCTTAATTTTTCGTAAATCTTCGTTAAGATCGGTTCAGGTTTCTCAGTAATTCTATTGAGGTCCTCATGTAGACCTTCTAAAAGATATCGAAGGAATTCCTGGGCGTCTTGATAGGCAGATCTCATGAATCGAGGGGCAAATCTTTGAATCTGATATTGAAGTAGGCAGTGTTTATTACTCTGTCAGATGAATCTACAATTATTTGATAACTTCTGCAAATGCTTTGATTAAAGAACCTTTCGTACCAGAAATACTAGAATTGATATCTTCCATGTATATATCCTTTTCCAAGTAATCCAGCAACCATCTCGAGCTTGATAAACAATGGATTACACTGTTCATGAAACAGGTGTTTCCAAAATTTTTCAACCCATCAAACTCATTAAATATTCAAAATGTTCATCATCGACTCAATAACAAATATAAAATCTATTTACAAAATAATATCTCACATACTAAAATGTATACGTATACTTTAGATTTTACGAATTTCCACAAACATTTGAAGGGTGTCATATTGGGTGACCAAGCAGGACAACGTCTGGCTGTCCACCAGTTTGGATAATCATCATTCAGCCATACTCAAACAAGCCTGTCATAATGAGGAGGTACCCCATTTTGCTAAAAAATCAGTCTATATCATCAGCCTATATCATCAGCATATATCATCAATCATACGTCTGATGCATTATATTCACTATATTGCACTATATTCATGATGCATGAATAAACGAGCAATAGTGTGGAACTCACGAAATTACCCCAGAAATATATGGCTACATGATAACCCCTCACAAGATAATATAATTTTTTTCAGTTCAATCAACTGATCTCAAATTCATTTCAGATCGAACCGATTGGAGGAAAAGGAGATGGTGGTCAATACAGTTGTAAAAAATCCGCATGTCCCCGCTATCTCAATGACGAGTGTCCAAATGAGTTGAAACTGAACACAGAACATGGAGTCGTTGGTTGCAAATCAGCATGTTTAGCATTTAACACCGACCAGTACTGTTGCCGGGGTGCATTCGGTACACCAGAAACTTGCAGAAGTTCCACGTGGCCTGTGAATTACCCCAAATTCTTCAAATCGCGGTGCCCTGATGCATACAGCTACGCCTATGATGACCACAAGAGTACTTTCACTTGCCGGGCTGAAAAATATTTAATAACCTTTGGACTTTAACAGCATATCATATTTGAATTTATCACGTGATTTCTTCATAACTGTAATTAACTTGTTCGTTATCGAATATCTATATCATTTCTATTCTATATTCCCGAATATGTTTGACAAATTCTGAAACATATAACTTCGAACTCAATATTCGATACAATCATCCAAGGTATTTGTCGACAATATTTTTATAATGTTCGAAATTGAGGAAAACATCACCCATATATTCAACTACTTATCGTTTTGTTAATGAATAATCGCTCATAGATAATAATAAAATTATTGGCAATGATTATTTTTTCAAATAATAATTCCTATTATGAACAATACTCTAGCTCTAGAACAATACAAAGATTTACATACATTGCTAGTCTGGGATTCGCTGGGGCTATAGTTGTACCACATCCTTCTTGAAAGTTGTAGATGACACCCAACTGATAATAATTTACTGAGTGTCCTAGTTTTACTCGACTATTTCGAAGCATTTGATCTAAAAAATCATAGTCTGTTATTGGATATGTTGAACCTATTTGGCTCCTACCTTACTTAGCCTGTCAGCTTGTTGAGAGCTATTTGAAAGACCGAAATCCATCAGTTATTTATAATGATGAAATATCTATGTCACTGAATATGTAATCAGGGAGAGCCTCTCTTCCCAAAAGGGTTCCCAAGGCTCTTCTGTGGAACCATTATTTTTCATCATCTATATTTTTTCCCAGAACGCATATAATTCTTGGGTATTGCTGTTTGGTAGAAGTGCTACCAGGCTCCATATCAGAATTGGTGAACAACTCCTCCCTACAATAAGTAGTGCGAAAAACTCAACAATAGTCCTTGATGACCGTGTTAGATTTCTCTCACGCATATCGTTGATCACGAAACAAGCAAAACAAGCAATTTTTCCACACATCAGAACTGCAACTCTCTTCTCGATGCCTGTTTCACCAACGAAATTGGCGTCATCAGGAGATGAGCTAAAAAAATTGATGGATGTAGCCGTTACTACGTGGTAGGATATCATAATAAAAAGAGAAATGAAAATTTCTATGATTTTTACCATTTTCATTTGTAACTAACGTTACTGCAGTTTCGTCCTATATGGACATTCTCAAACTTATACAATAAACTAACAATGTCTCATTACATTCGCCAATGTATACCCTTCAGGTACTTGATTGAGTACCTGAATTTACAGTTCACAATGCGGATATGCGTAACGTTAGTTACAAATAAAACTGGTGAAAAACAGAAAAGATGAGCTAAACTTGATCTAGTCTAGTCTGGTTTATCTCCAGATGATGCCAACTTAGTGCTTGTTTTAGATTCATTTCACAACAGAGGTTACAGGTCTACATATCAGTTCAATTAATCACGATTTGTTACTAAACATGTTACATTATATAGGTTTTTCAGAAAATTCACGAGTGATAACAGTCAATTATCTCAAATATAGGCAGCAAAAAGTTGTTCTCGAAGATGAGAGCTCTGAATATTCGAAACTCAAGTCAGGTGTCCCGCAGGGATCTATACTGGGGCCTCTTCTGTTTACTGTGTTCTTCTCTCATCTGGTGACTGGAATAAAAGCCTGCAATATTCATTTATACCCTGATGATACCCAATTTTACTATAGTTTCCAGCCACATATGGTGGATGATGCATGCAATCTTATTAATAATGATCTTGGGGCCTGCGCAAAAGCTGCCAAAGACCATTGCCTACTTATTCATCCTGAAAAATCAAAAGTTATGCTGTTTGGAAGTAGACTTCAGCGTAAAAAAGTGGAGGACTCTATCAATATTACGATGTGAAGTTTGCGAGGAAGAATGAATTTTATGTATGTATTTACATTTTTTACTTTTTCACGCCTCAACTGCTCAACGGATTCAGAAAGTTATAGGTACAGAGCGAAGAATAATAATGAAATGAAGTGATTTATATCATTCACTTCAAACAATAAATAGAATTTAGCAGAGAAAGGTCTTGGCTTTTTATTTTGCGGTTTTCTTTTTTACAAAAATTGTAGGAAACTTCCAAAGGAAGAAAGAAATTTCAAAATGAACTCTTCGCAAATATGTGTTAGAGTTATCACAAGATCCCCCTTTAGATATTTTCAGATATTTGTTGGGAAATATTTACGAAAAAATTTAAATTCTTTTTATTTAGTCAGCCGATCCAAGTTTCTTTCTTCAAGTTAGAAAATATACTGCACGCCAATGTATTTATCAATCATCAGTGATGGACAGATAAAATTGCAACAACATTATTGGGATGAAAAGATAAAATTGCAACAAGATAATTTCAGAAAACTCATATATGTAATGAAGATTATCCACGTCAAAAACGCATGTAGGTAAACCATACATTAGAAATTATCGTGATCCGTTTTATATTTTCAATGAGGGAATATGAGATAAGATTCAATATTTAAGTAGAGTGCAAAATAATTGATCGTGACAAATCTGTGTGAATTTGAGAATAATTTGACAATGCTGAAACTAGTGACACTTTGTATTTTATTAACGACTGTTTTGGCAGTAGAGTTCCAGATTACGAATAGAGAAATAGGTGCTATCTGGGTTGGTTGTCAAGGAAATGCCGGAAAGCCAGCCTTGGCCAATGGTGGATTTATACTAGAAGCAGGAGCTACAGTGAGAAAACTGTTTTGTTTATAACAATTCAAGTGATAATCCTGAAATGAAAAAACAAAAGGGACATTCATTTTTTCGAAAATCATTAACTATCCTGATTCAAGATTTGATTAGAATTTCTCAATCATTTTACTTCTTCTGAGTGAATATTGAATATGTATCTCAAAAGTAGAAAATAAAAGGGATATAGTGAGGCTTACTTCGGGTATTTTTACCTTATATAGTTCGGAAAAATTAAAATTGAAATTAGAAATTTTATATCGGTGTAAAAAAGGTCAATCTCTAGTTCACAACTTACTATGTTACTATGTTCACAGAAAATACTTTTGTCAATTAAACTCATCGTATTTGTTGTGGAAATAATAAAAAACGTTTTGGAGGAAAAAATAAACAACCTCCATCATTAGAATACGAAAAGTCAATTATGAAAAATCATTTATCTCTCTTCTGACATCTGCCACAGTATTTAAACTAACGTCCCTTTAAATTTCATTCTATGAATATCCTAGGAGATCAAAATATATTTTGACACTTTCAGCCCTGTGTTGAAACTTTTTTGATCAGTCTGTAGGTTTTGTGCATGAAGTTTTGTCAACAATTGCGGTATACATCATTGAAGGCAACAAGGCAACGGAAGCGGTGCTCTAGTTGATCTCATAACTCATATATCAATGGTCTTAGTATGCTCTGTCTCTACAGAGGCAGATGATAAAACATTTTCCAACATTTGAATGATGATATGATGAGTATGTTTTTTCCACTGAACGGTTGTAATAATTCGATTTTCACAGACATATTACTTTCGTCAATCAGAGGAAGCTGGGTTATTTTGTTGAATCTATATATTGAACTTCATTGTTAGTACTTATTTACTTTACTTTAACGTCTTCATAATTGACATAGTTGAGGTCATTGACATCAACTGTTTGATATACTCGGATGACCTGAAATTATATTCTGAGATCAATCGCATCGAGGACTGCCTTCAACTCTCCCCCAATCTGAAACGTGTTGAGCAATGGTTTTTTCGCAACAATCTTCCTTTAAACGCGAGTAAATGTAATGTAATGACGTACTCACTAAAAAATCGTCCATTTTCATATCAATATTTAATAAACGATATTCCACTTCAACGGCCTCACACATTCACCGATCTAGGTGTTACCTTCGACACAAAACTTTCCTTCGTACCACACATTGAAGCCACTATGTCTGCTGCAAACAGAATGTATGGATTTATTGCACAAATCTCCAGAGGTTTCTAGGATCCAACTACATCGAAAACGTTTGTTTGAAGGTGGTTGACAATGTTTCGTGGTATATTTCATCAGTTCGGACTTCCATTGTCTAATATAATATAAATTGATTTGATAACCCTGAAAGAAATCAAAAAGATTAACCGAAAATAACAATTTTATTAAACAAAAAACTGAAATTACAAAGAAATAACATACAACAACAACCAAACAAATAAAAATTGAAAATATTATTAACAAAAAATGAAAAAATAAAAATTAAAAGATTTCAAACCAAGTTATGTCACAACGTTTCAATTGTTAGTATCCACAATCGTCTTCGGGTAATAACTGGACTTATTCCTCCGAGATCTGAGTATTAATAGGTCATTCGAGTGCTTTCCTATCCCCTATTCTATCCCCTCTTCCCTCTTTTCGCTGCATTGGTTTTGGCGGAAGATGACCGTTTGGCGGGAGTTCGTCGTCTCTCGCTTGATTAGAGGTTTCCATATGTTACGTATCCCTACGCTAGCTTAAGTAAATGCGTTGTTGGACAACATATATGCGGCTTCTTTGAATTTTCTCCTAAACCAGTGTTCCTATTTGTGGATGATTTCAGCTTGAGCCCACTTGAGGTTGTGTTGAACACTTGTAACTTTCATGCCTCTCACCAACAAAAGAATCATGGTAAACAGCTGAAACTGTGAAAATATGTTCGAGACGAGTGTATCAACATTAACCTCACTATTTGAACAGATCTCGTACATCACTCACATTGACATGAGTGGTTGTTTCAGTTGCGATTTATCTTCGTGTTCGAAAGTAACCGGCCCAACGAAAAAAACACAAAAATTTGGGGACAAAAATAATTTATTTTTCAACATAATTCCCTTGCAGCTCTATTAACTTTTCCCAGCGATGTTCAAGAAGTTCGATACCGTTTTTATAATGAGAACTGTCTTGCTCCTCAAAATAGCCATTAACTGCCAACAGCACTTTTTCATCGTTGGAAAATCTTTGACCAGTGAGCCATTTTTTCAAGTTTGGGAATAAAAAATAATCCGAGGATGCTAAATCTGACGAATAGGGTGCATGAGCTAGCAATTCAGACTTGAATTCGTTAATTTTGGTCATTCCGATAATGGATTTGTGAGCTGGGGCATTGTCTTGAAACAACACATTTTTTTTTAGTCAGATGTGGATGCGTAATACTTGCCTTTGATAGTTTTACCTTTTTTAAGATGGTAAATGAAAATTATTCCATGCGCATCCCAAAAAACCGATGCCATGACCTTGCCTGCTAATGAAACGGTCTTCGCCTTCTTTGAAGCTAGTTCTCCCTTTTGAGGCCACTGTTTTGATTGTCCTTTTGTCATAACCATCCATGGTTATGAAACGATGCAAGAATTCTGCTTTGTTGCTGCGAAACTTTGCTAAACACTCAATTGAAAGCACCCTGTTTTTGTTCAAGTGTGAGCAAACGCGGCACCAATATTGAACACAGCTTTCTGGATTCGTCACCTCATTTGATCGACCACTACGATGCTGGTCTTGGCAGCTCTTACGGTCGTGTTTAAACTCTGCTACCCAATATTTCATTGTTATCAGCGAAGGTGCAGACTCACCCAGAGTAGAATCCAGTTCAGCTTTTATATTGGTTCGGCTAAGGCCTTCCAAATTAAAGTATTGCACCACGTAACGATGACCAATTTTCTCCATTTTCACAAATTCACCGAAAACCAAACAAATACTAAACAACACAGCGTCTTCAAACTTGAAATCTTTATAGTTTGTGTACTTTCCAGTAAAGTGATATTTTTCAAACAACTACCGCCATCTCTAGGTCAGGCCAGGTTGAAGCTTGATTATTTGAAACACAAAGAGGTGGAAGCCTCCAAATGTTAGTTAACAAATGAGGGCGACCTATTTTTTTATTTTTCAGGCATTTCAAGTTAATATTTTCACAATGACATCTGATTTTCAGATCTCAGTTTATTCTCCAGACGATTGGGCGGGTCGCTTTTGGGCAAGAACTTGGTGTGACGTGAATACTAAGCACTGTTTAACTGGCGATTGTGGCGATAGACTTGAATGTGGTGGCAATGGAGGAGCTCCACCTGCTTCTTTGGTAGAAATAACGTTGAAGGGATATGGAGAACAGGATTATTATGACATATCATTAGTGGATGGATTCAACATCGCAGCTGCCGTAAGTAGAAAGACTGTTAGGACTTCATTTCCTCATATGAAAGTAGATCATGATTCTTGAATAGGAGATATTTGAAAACGATTGCATTGATGTACTTTTCAAGTGGTAAGATTTCGAGAACGTTTTTTTGTTTGGTTTTCTATAAATTCATATCATTTTTTTTAATGTGAGCTTGGCTGTCTTCCCTTACAATGACGGCATCCATGGGATCGACACAAAACTCAAATCTGGTTCATCGAGGATAAAAGAGGGTCCTCAAAGCAGTCTGTTGCATACCAAGCTTCATCTGCGATTGTCCTTTGAGAAGTAGCTCTATAACTAGATGTATCCAAAACCCACAAACAAATCATTCATGATGCATAACCTGTTTCGATTAGAAATGAGCTGGATTTTTGGCTTATACCTTAGAGATGGAGAAGTGATCAAAACAAAACATAATCATAATTATCTAACTTGAAATGATCATGATGACTTTTGAGAGAGACCAGAGTGATCCTGAAAACGAAGTAAGAAGTCGTTTTTGCTATAGAATAGGATTTGATAAACCAGTAGTTACTACAATGAGTATGACAATGAATATTTTTTATTTCTTCAAAAAAAATCGTTTCGAAAAGACAGTGCAGGAAAGTGCAGGACATATCTAATGAGGATTGAATAATTTCATTATTTATCTAAGGGAAACAAACACATACAATATCGGGAGAAATGTGCCTAAATTTTCTTGCCGATACCTATCAACAGGTCATATTGTTCATCCCAATTCGAAAATTATAGTTGCGTGGCACAACATACAGGGTGTCAATTTGAAAACTTGCCACCTTTAATATCTTCCTTCTAATTAATAATATCAGGAATCGAAAAAACAGGTCAATTTTATGATCAAGGGGTCCTCTTGGCTCAAATTCCAAGGAGGGGTACATAAGTGGCACATAATTCTAATTGGCGTTCAATTCTGCTTCCAATGATACCCTGACGTTTTATTTTTTGACGAACAGATTCCGAAAAATAGCGTTCTGAACTTACACATGTATTTAGACTTTACCTGTTTTGTGATGCATCATTGTATAGACTCCTTTCAAAGAAAATGGTTAAAAGAGTAGGTAACACCGTTCCAACCTTGACTGACAGAAAGTAATGTATTACGTGTGGGACTTTTTATCTATTGGTTATTGTCCTTTTACAAAATAAAATGAAATTTGCGAGAAAAACATTTCAAACATAAACATCTACTTACGCTTATCTTATAAACTTTTGAAATGTCGTCCATTTTACTCTAAACAATAATAAAGTCTGTTTTTGAACTCCCCTCTAAAATTACGGAAAACTTTACTAGAAATTGATTGGCATGCTGCTGTAATTCGTCTTTCAAGTTCTTCAATATCAGAAGATTATGTTTTATAAACAACGGATTTAAGATGCCCCCAAAGAAAAAATCTGAAGGTGTTGAATCCGGTGATCTCGGAGGCCATTCGACTGCTCCCCTTCTGCCAATCCATCTATCCGGAAATCTTTCGTTCAACCTCTGTCGGACGAGAAGAAAATAATGAAGTGGAGCACTTTCCTGCTGGAAATGTAACAGATCCTCCTGCAAAAGTTCATTACCTTCTGCATCTATTTGAGTTTCTAGCTTGTGAGTTATAAGAGGTACAGATTGCCAGTCAAGTTTTCTTCCAGAAATAATGGACCAATAGTGGCATTTTCAAGAATACCAGCCCAAACATTAAACTCTTGTATTGTGTATGTCTTTCTCGAAAAATATATGGGTTTTTGTCATTCCCATAGGGACAATTTTATCTGTTAACATTGCCACTCAGAAAAAATTAATATTCATCGCTGAAACAGATGTTTAACAGAAGATTAGGGATGGTATTGACTCGATGAGACATGAATTCACGAGACTCTATCTTCTTTAATCATCCTCGTGATTCTCTTGAAGAATCTGCATTTTATGAGAATGAAATTCATGCATTTTCAATGCTTTTCTTATAGTCTCGCGTGGCATTCCTGTCTCTTCTGATACTGATCGTAAAAAGCTCAAGGGTTTCGCACCAAATGTTCCCAAAACTTCAACTTGAGCTGCTTCATTTAGTTTTCCGGGGTTATTTTTTTTATTTGTCACTGAACCAGTATCGTATCGTATCGTATTCACCAAATAGAGCAGTGACTCACATTAAAATTTGGATGTATTTCCTTAAAAAGATATGCCGTCCTTCGTGCGCACTTTCCAACTTCTCCATAAATTACAATCATTTCAGCTATGTCTTGAAGACTGCAAACCATTTTTACACTTTTATACACTTATTGAAGTAATCACTAAACAGTATGCACAATACTAGCACATAGGATTAAAAATTCCCATCGCAGAAACACCAAACTCTACCACCATCTACGGTTTACTATTAAACTACTTTTTGATGTAAATTCATTGGAGCTAATGGCTAATGTTACCCCTAATGAAGAATTGGAATGGTACCACCTAATATTCTTACCAGTTCTGGTCAAACCATGCACCTCAGTATAGGCGTACTAATAATCACTTCTGTTAGTTCAGAATGTTATTTTTCGGAAAATGTTCATAAAAAAATAATAAGTCAGGGTACCATTGGAAGCAGAATTGAAAATCAATCAAAATGATGTGCCACTTGACCCCCCTTCCCATTTGAAATTCTAAGGGTAACATCTACCCCTCCTAGGGGTTTGAACCACGAGGGCTACAAATAGTCCTTGAAATTGTCCCCCTTGACAATAAAATTGACCTGTCTATTCGATTCCTCATAATGTTTACTGGAAGGAAGGTATTAAAGGTGAGAAGTTTTCAAATTGGCACCCTGTATAAGAGTGTGCACGAAAAAAATTTCCTTTTCTTCGATAAAGCATACTCAAGAACATTATTTCTGTACATCGCAATAGAAAAAACAATGGTGTAGAATTAATTGTCTCCAAGAGAGGCACCATCCAAAAGTGATTTATTTTTAGAAATCGGTACAGCCGATAAAAATGAAGTCTGTTTACAAAATCATTTCTTACATACTGGAACGTACACAAAACCAGCCTGTCATAATGAGGAAATACCCCATTTTACTGAAAGATAAGATCGGTTGAAATTCCATTTGGAATTGCTAATTTCATCAATCATAGGTGTTAGGAATGCCTCAGTGGCTAACAACGATGAAAACACTTATAACACCACCTACTTTATAATATTAATTAGTCTATCCAACGCACTCCCTAACATAGGTTTGATACGATTTTGCAGTATATCATGATGCATGAATGAACGGTCGATAGTGTGTAACTCACGGAATTACCCAACAAAAAATATAATTTTTTCATTACAATCAACTGATTTCGAAATAATCAAGAAAAGAGAAATGCAACCCTCTATGTTTTTTATCACTTTTATTTGTAACTCACGTTACTGCAGATTCGTCCTGTACGGACATTTTCAAACTCATACAATGAAAATGTCCGTACAGGACGAAACTGCAGTAACGTGAGTTACAAATAAAAGTGGTAAAAAACATAGAAAGTTTCATTTCCCTTTTCATTATGATTTCCTACCACGTAGTAACGGCTATATCCATCAATTTATTAATGTCGAATTCATTTCAGATCGAACCGATTGGAGGGAATGGAGATGGAAGTCAGTACAGTTGTAAAAGATCCGCATGTTTCCGCCATCTCAATGACGAGTGTCCAAATGAGTTGAAACTGAACACAGAACATGGAGTCGTTGGTTGCAAATCAGCTTGTTTAGCATTCAACACCGACCAGTACTGTTGCCGAGGTGCATTCGGTACACCAGAATCTTGCAGAAGTTCCACTTGGCCTGTGGATTACCCCAATTTCTTCAAATCACGGTGTCCTGATGCGTATAGCTACGCCTATGATGACCACAAGAGTACTTTCACTTGCCAGGCTCAAAAATATTTGATAACCTTCGGAGTTTAACGTCATATCATATTTGATTGTATCAAGTGGAATTTTCATATCTGTAATCAACTTGTTCGCTATCAAATATCTATTCTATTTTCGTCAATGTAAGAAATAGAAGAGAAATAAAAGCTTGAATGAATGAGGGCACTTCACACATATGCAAGAATGTTTGACAAATTCTGAAACACATAACTTAGAACTCAATATGCGATACAATCATCCAAGGTATTTGTCGACAATTTTTTCTCAAGTTCGAAATCTGGAAAAATATTATCCTTATCACTTAAAACTTAAACCTAACTTAATTTCACTGTTGTACAACAAAACACTTCAACTGAAACTACAACTATTATTCAAATGTCTATCCCCTTTTTAGATCCTTCCGCGTACCGCACTGCCACTTCAACTCAACTATATCGATAGGTTCGTAGGGAGCGTTTATACAAGGCTATTCAAATTCGTTTCTGTACATGGGGATCTCCTAAACGATAAGAGATAGAGTGTCGGTTAAATCATGGCAAAGTTACGTATTTTAGAGACCTATTCAATGATGTAAAGAAATCGAATATAGCTCTTTTGGTTCTGGAGATATACAGGAAAAACAAAAAAACCCAAATTATTTTTTTGCCTATATATTCTTTATTCGCAGACATATTGAAAATCTGTCCACATTTTGCTATTGGCACTTGATGTGGGCTCTCAGAATATATCCATGAATATTTTAAAATTATCAACAATAGCAATTTCTTCAAACAGTTTCAATGAACAATACTCCTGACGAAGACCTAAACACATTTCTAGTCCGAATTTCGAAGTGGCTATAGTTATACCACAGCCCTCTTGAAAGTTGTAGATGACACCCAACTGAAAATAATTCACTGATTAGCCTAGTGTCATTCGACTATTACGAAGATTTTGATCAAAAAAATCATAGTCTGCTGCTGGATATGCTGACTTCTTTGGTTTCTCTCTCAGCCTGTCAGCTTGTTGAGAGATAGTTGAAAGATCGAACTCAAAATAATTATTTATAATAATACGTCACTGAATACATCACTGGGGGAAACCCTCATCTACATTTAACAATTTGCATTGAAAACATATCACGCAACTGTTTACAGCTACGCCAACGTACGCAGCTGTAGGCTGAGCTGAAAAGTTTGTAATATTGGAAAAACATTATTTTCATAAAATTTGATTTTTTTATTCAATGTATTTAGGAATTGTCTTGATGACCGTCTTAGATTTTCTTCACATGTTTCACTGATCACGAAAAGAGCTGACACTTCTATGGAACTGTTATATTCTAGAGAAGATTTATTGAATAAAAAACAAAACTATTTCTCTCTTACTTTAACTTTGCAGATTCATTATATGTCTGTGTTCATCAAAATAAGATAAGCTCAAACTTCAGAGTATTCAAAATGCATGTTCTGGCTTGATATGACTGAACGAAGGTGCTACAAGCTCTTAGTTTCAAAATACTCCTCGATGAAAAACATACACTTCATCTTCTGATTCTGAGCGGATATGCACAATATCAATGTTCGTTACAAATCAATGTTAACTCCACCCATCCACAAAATAAGCCCTTTCCAGGGTACTTTTTGGTATAACGTTTCTTGGCTAATGAATAGGATACTGATTGATCTCAGGAATGTCCCTCTGACCTGTTTAAATGAATTGATTCGAAAAAACTTGATGGCTAAAACTTATACTGTCACGCAGTCTCTTTTCTGGTAGGTATAATGTAATTATTCAAATGGAGTGAAATATTTGAACTGTGTGTTTGGGCATTTACATATTTTGGTAAAAATGAAATTGAGTTCAGCAACACCGCTGTTTGAAAAACTGTTTGAAAATCTGTTTTTCCGTTAACCAGCTGTCGCACCCCTACGAACGACAACTCTCAGAAGTCAAAACTTGTGCAAGCTAAGGATTAACGAGGTCTTACCTTTTAACGTGTGATTCCTAACACGGGTTGGGCGGTAGCAAGTGAAGATCGATCGTTCAGACTAGGGCTTGAACCACCGACCAACACGGCAGTCAATTCGAGTGAGTGAACAAAGCACCCACGCCGAACCGCTTGGCTACCGACTGACCTGACCTGTGGATTGGAATATAGAGATCACAGCAGTCGAATGTTGGTAGATAGTTCAAAAAGTCGATCACTGAACGGAGTGTGGAACAGAAAAATAAACACTGCTTCTCCTATTACTACTTGATCCTATTCTAGTTTGCAACACAATTTTTTTCCTTAAGCAGTTGGAATTAAAATAAGCCAGACCTGGTGATTCTCCAGTCTCTTCTTTCGTCGGATGCTGAACGTTATCGACAGTCCCGCCTTAAATGTCCTTCTCTGCCGCAGTTATAGTATTTAGGCTGCCCTCTTGCCTTGGGTACAGTTCTATTCATCAAATATTTCTTTAGAAGGTCCTCTAGACCTACCATGAGTCGATTTGTTTCTTCATCTTCCTTTTCGGTGATGGCTCTCACTAAAACTTTTCGCTGTAGTCGCGAATCATTTTTGGTAGCTTCAAATTCTAGAGCATAAATGATGGCTTCATTCAATTTTTTATGACACGCCATCCTCCGCAGCTTCTGCAACTCTGTGTCACGAACCCCGTCGATGGAACTATGGAAACTCATCCAGTGGGTGAAGTCATCAGGTGCTTCTGAGTGGGCGAGTCTTACCAATTTTTTGACTTCAGCCCCAAACTCCTGCAGACTTTCGGATGGACCTTGAATTATCACCTTCAGTTGAGCTTGCTAGACTTGTTGAAGGTGGTCACTACCTTACCTGACTCTCAAAGCTGAATTTTGGAGGCCTTTCCTCGTAGTGCCAGCATAAGAGCTGTTGCTTTCTCCTCTTTTTTCCACCCATTATTTCCCGCAGAGACGTCAAATTGTCCGCGATGAATAGACCATGAAGATTTGTCATCGAGGGCCGGAGTTTTAATGAAACTACTGCTAGAAGGGAGAGATGTTGTTTCCGATTTGCACTTCTCCACAGCAATCCTCTTCGGCTCCGGTAATTCTTTCTGGAATTCCGGAAAACCTCTTCCAGCTTTTTGTCGACTTCTTCAAGCTTCTTTTCAAATTCCCTTTCGACTTCCTCAAGTTTCTCATCGACTACTTTTTCCAACCCCTCCTTTGTTTCCTGAAATATTTTTTTATATTATTCCTGAATCAATTCTTGTTACTCCCCTTCACTCACTTGGGAGAATTTCAAATCTTCCAATAAATGCAGGTACATCTGACTGTATTTTTCCTGATTCTCCTGAATATTCAACAATAATTTACGATCGTCCTCTCTGTCTCTTTCTGCGTTTTTCATTCTCCCCTAGACTTGCTTGCAAAACCTCGAACATTTTCTCAACCTTGTTCATCTCGTCGTAATCGACACTCCCTGTTTTCACCGTGAAACAGAAAATTCTCAGTCAATTATTCCACTTCCAACACCAAATTTTACGTTTTCCCCGTGGGTTTGACAATAATTGACTACACTGAACGATAATCAAACTTGAGTTAATTTCACTGTTGTACAACAAAACACTTCAACTGAAACTACAACTATTATTCAAATGTCTATCGCCATATTAGATCCTTCCGCGTACCGCACTGCCACTTCAACTCAACTATATCGATAGGTTCGTAGGTAGCGTTTATACAGGGCTATTCAAATTCGTTTCTGTACATGGGGATCTCCTAAACGATGAGAGATAGAGTGTCGGTTAAATCATGGCAAAGTTGCGTATTTTAGAGACCTATTCAATGATGTAAAGAAATCGAATATAGCTCTTTTGGTTTCAGGAAATATACAGGAAAAACAAAAAAAAATAATTTTTTTGCCTATATCTTCTTTATTCGCAGACATATTGAAAATCTGTCCACATTTTGCTATTGGCACTTGATGTGGGCTCTCAGAATATATCCATGAATATTTTATACAGGGTATCATCTGACTTGGGCCACCCCCATCTTTGAATTTTTAAATACGGACCTGTATTTTTTGTTGTAGTTTTTGGATCGTAGACGTTCACTTCATAACTTCATACTTCATCGTTTACGAGATCCCCATGTACAGAAACGAATTTGAATAGCCCTGTAGATGACAATCGAAGGGCTTCGAAGATGGTAGAATATTCGCTGAAGTTCCATCGAAGCCGGTAGCATTATTCTCGCCACGTCTAGAACGGCCGTGAACATCCACAGCCAGTGGCTGCCGGCGTTATTTTCTTTAGGGCATGATAGATAGATTTATTTAATCACCACTAGTTATTATTCCTTGAATTTTCTGTACAAAAACTGTAAGGAGAATTCAAGCCTTTAGCGGTGTTGTCAAGATTGTTCATTATGAAGTTGAATTACGTTCAAATAAAAATATTGGCTAGGTTTGTATTTTATAGTTTCCTGAAAGGTTGTGATTGGAATTTCGGAAGGTGAAAAGTGAAGTTTTCAAACAGACAGCAGGTTTCGTGAAGATTTTCATTGGAAATTATTAAAGTCGAAATGGCTACGGAAATTTAATATGTTAACAGCCAGAAGAGAATGTATTTTCTCTATTTTTGCAAAAACTACCGAGGAGCTACCATAGCTTCGTATTATCGGGTAAACTACGATGTTAGCGAAACGCGTCTAAAAATATTTGTGAAAATTGTTTAATTATTATCATGGATAGAATTATAATTCAAATCTTTTTGGCACTGATGAGAGGTAATATCTTAGAACTAGTCTATAGATGATTCCATTCTTCTGATTTCTTCATGGTCCTGCTGATGGATGAACGAGAAACATCTGCAAGACTAACATCTGCATAAATGTTTGTCTGTTATAATTCAATGTCCAGCGTGGTATTAGCCGGGGAATAAGTGATTTTCCGGCAGGCATTTACCAGAACCTACGGTGATGCATGTTCTCGAAATTTCAGTTCAAAAGATTTATTCTCTTATATAATATAGGAAGGCGATAGATAGCTACTAAAAACCCATATACGAAACTCTTCTGAATATATATTTGGTTCACGATCATGGATTATGAAATACATGATTTTTTCATCATTTCATGTCTCCTACCGTTGAAGGAGATCAGATACCAAACGAGTTTTATAATTATCAAAATACATCGAAATCTGTATCTTTGACTGAGTGACACG